GTACCACCAGTTTCCGGTCCATTAAAGGACCAACACAAGACCCCTATATATGCTGTCTAAAGAGACCCACCTCAAACCTAGGGACACATACAGACTGAAAGTTGGGGGTGAAAAAAAGATACTCCATGCAAATCGAGACCAAAGTAAAGTAGAAGTAGCAAGGCTTGCATCAGGCGAAACAGACTTTAACATAAAAACGGTTGTAACAGACAAAGAGGGACACTACATAATGATCAAGGGGTCAATCCAAGAAGTAACATTGACATACATGAACCCATCAAAGGAGCACCTCAAGACGTAAGGCAAATGGAAATAACTATTAAAGGGGAAATCGACAGTAATAGTGGGGGGCTTTAATCCATCCCCCCATGGATAGATAGATCATCCTGACAGAAAATTAACAGGAAACACAAGCTTTAAACAATACATTGGACCAGTTGGACCTAATTAATATCCTCAGTACATCTGATCCGAAAACAATCAGTTCAGTTCAGTTCAGTGGCTCAGTCATGTCTGACTCTTTTGAGACCCCATGAACGACAGCACGCCAGGCCTCTCTGTCCATCACCAACTCCCAGAGTCCACCCAAACCCATGTCCATTGACTCGGTGATGCCATCCAACCATCTCATCCTCTGTCGTCCCCTTCTCCTCCTGCCCTCAATCTTTCCCAGCATCAGGGTCTTTACAAAACAATAGATTTTACTTTTTTCTTAATTGCACATGGAACATTCTCCAGAATAGATCAAATCCTGGACCACAAATCAAGCCTTGTAAAAATTTTAAAATGAAATCATTTCAAGCATCTTTTCTGATCACAACACTATAAGCTTAAATAATAAGTACAGATGGTGTATTAAAAAGCAAAGTCATCACTTTGTCAACAAACGTCCTTACAGTCAGAACTATGATCTTTCCAGTAGTCATCTGTGAATTTGAGAGTTGGACCATAAAGGAAGAGTGCCAAAGAATTGATGCTTTCGAACTGTGGTGCTGGTAAACACTCTGAGAGTCCGCTGGACAGCAAGGAGATCAAACCAATCAATCCTAAAGGAAATTAACCCAGAACATTCACTGGAAGGACTGATGCAGAAACTGAAGCTTCAACACTTTGGCCACCTGATGCAAAAGCCAACTCCTTGGAAAAGACCCTGATGCTGGGAAAGATTTAGGGCAAAAGGAGAAGAGAATGACAGAGGATGAGATAGTTGAATGGCATCACCAATTCAATGGACATGAACATAGGCAAACTCCAGGAGATAGTGAGGGACAGGGAGGTCTGGTGTGCTGTAGCCCACAGGGTGACAGAGTCGGGCACAACTTGGTGACTGAACAACAACAGGATAAAAAACTATAAATAACAAGAAACATGGAGGCTAAACAACGCACTTCTGAATAACCAATAGATCACTGAAGAAATATAAAAGGAAATCAAAACAAGCTTAGAAGAAAATGACAATGAAAACAAGACAACCCAACACCAATGGGATGTAGTAAAAGCAGTGCTAAGAGGGAAGTTCATAACAATAAAAGCCTACCTCAAGAAACAGGAGACATCAAAGCAACAACCTAACCTTACACCCACAGCAACTAGAAAAAGAAGAACAAAAAACCCCAAAGTTAGTAGGAGGGAAGAAATCATAAAGATCACAGCAGAAGTAAATGAAAAAGAAATGAAAGATAGCAAACATTAATAAAAATAAAAGCTGGGTCTTTAAGAAGATAAAATTGACAAATCGTTAGCAAGATTCATCAAGGGAAAAAGGGAAAAAGACTCAAATCAATAAAAATAGAAATGAAAAAGAAGTTACAAAAGACAACACAGGAAAACAAAGGATTGTCAGAGACAACTCTGAGCAACTATATGCCAATAAAATGGACAACTTGGAAGAAACTGACAAATTCTTGGAAAAGTACAACCTTCCAAAACTGAACCAGGAAGAAATAGAAAATATGAACAGAACAAGCACACACATGGAAATTTAAACTATAATAAAAAATATAGATCAGTGGAACAAAACATAAAGCCAGGAGAAAAATCTACACACCTATGAATACCTTATTTTTGACAAAGGAAGAAGGATATACATGGAAACCACTTTTTAATAAGTGGTGCTGCGAAAACTGGTCAACTAAATGTAAAAGAATGACGTTAGAACACTTCCTAACACTATATATAAAAATAAACTCAAAATGGATTAAAGACCTAAACATAAGACCAGAAACTATAAAATGCTTAAGAGGAAAACCAAGGCAGAACACTCTGATATAATCACAGCCAAGATCCTATATGACTCTCCTCCTAGAGTAATGGAAATAAAAATAATAAACAAATGGGACCTAATTAAACGTAAAAGCTTTTATACAATGAAGGAAACTACAAACAAGGTGAAAGACAACCCTCAGAATGGGAGAAAATAATAGCAAATAAGACAACTGACAAAAGATTAACTTCAAAAATATACATGCAGCTCCTGCAATAGCAGGAAAAAAAAAATTTTTTTAAGATATTTCTACAGAGAAGATATATAGATGGCTAATAAACACATGAAAAGATACTCAGTATCGCTCATTATTAGAGAAATGCAAATCAAAACCAAAATGAGGTATCATCTCATACCAGTCAAAATGGCCATAATAAAAAAAAGCTACAAATAAATGCTAGAGAGGGTGTGGAGCAAAGGGAACCCACTTACAATGCTGGTGGGAATGTAAACTGATACCACCACTATGCAGAACAGTATGCAGAGTCCTTACAACACTAGGAATGAAACTATCATACAGCCCAGCAAACCTACTACTGGGCATACCTTGAGGAAACCAGAACTGACAAAGACACAAGTACCCCAAAGTTCACTGCCCCACTATTTACGATGGCTGGGACATGGAAGCAACCCAGCTGTCCATCGGCACTGAATGGATAAATAAGTTGTGGTTGATCAGTTGCTCAGTCATGTCAGCAGCCCCGTGGACTGCAGCATCCTAGGCTTCCCTGTCCTTGCCCATCTCCCAGAGCGTGTTCAAACTTAAGTTCAATGAGTCAGTGATGCCATCCAACCATCTCATCTTCTATCGCCCCCTTCTCCTCTTGCCCTCAATCTTTCCCAGCATCAGGGTCTTTTCCAATGAGTTGGTTATTCCCAAACCGAAGCTTCAGCATCAGTCCTTGCAATGAACATTCAGGGTGGATTTCCTTTAAGATTGACTGGTTTGATCTCCTTGCAGTCCACGGAACTCTCAAAAGTCTCCTCCAGCACCATGATTCAAAGGTACTAGTGCTCAACCTTCTTTATGGTCCAACTCTCACATCCATACATGGCTACTGAAAAAAATCATAGCTTGGTATATATGAATCTTTGTCAGCAGCAATGTCTCTGCTTTTTCATACCCTGTCTAGGTTTGTCATAGCTTTTCTTCCAAGGGGCAAGCACCTTACAATTTTGTCGCTGTAGTCACTGTCTACAGAGATTTCTAGATTAAAGAAAAAAAAAAACACACTCTCAACAGATTGGGTATAGAAGTAACATACCTCACATAATAACACCATATATGACCAACCAGCCTTGTCTTCATGAGGAGGCTTGCAAAACTTAATGAAGCTATGAGCCACATCTTGCAGAGCCCCCTAAGAAAGACAGGTCATTGTGAAGAGTTCTGAAAAAAAAAGGTCCAAGGGAGGAGGAAATGGCACACCACTCCATTATTCTTGTCACGAAAACCCCATAAGCAGTATGAAAAGGCAAAAAGAAATGAAACCAGAAGATGAGCTCTCCAGGATGGTAGGTTTTCAGAATGCTACTGGGGAAGAGCATAGGGCAATTACAAATAGCTCCAGAAAGAATGAAGTTGCTGGGCCAAAGCAGAAACAATGCTCAGCTGTGGATGTGTCTGGTAGTCAAAATCTGATGTTGTAAACAACAATATTGCATAGGAACCTGGAATGTTAAATCCATGAATCAAGTTAAGTTACAAGTGATCAAGCAGGAGATGGCAAGACTGAACTTAAACTGAACTGAGTCTTAGTAATTAGTGAACTAAAAAGGATGGGAAGGAGAGAATTTAATTCAAATGACTGTTATATCTACTATTGTGGGCAAGAATCCCTTAGAAGAAATGGAATAGCTCTCACAGTCAACAAGAGTACAAAATGCAGTACTTTGGTGCAATCTCAAAAACAACAGAATGATCTTGGTTCATTTCCAGGGCAAACCACTGATGCCAAAGGAGCTGAAGTTAACCAGTTCTTTGAAGACCTACAAGACCTTCTAGAACTAACCGAAAAAGGGATGTCCTTATGTCATAGGGAAGTGGAATGCAAAAGCAGGAAGTCAAGAGATACCTGGCTAAACAGGTAAGTTTCAGCCTTGGAGTACAAAATGAAGCAGGGCAAAGCCTAACAAAGTTTTGCCAAGAGAATGCACTGGTCATAGCAAACACAATTTCCCAACAACAACAGAGATGACTACACATGGACATCACCAAATGGTCAATTCCAAAATCAGGTTGATTATATTCTTTGCAGCTGATGGAGAAGCTCGATACAGTCAGCAAAAACACGACTAGGAGCTGACTGTGACTCAGATTGTGAACTTCTTATTACAAAATTCAGACTTAAATTGAAATAGATTTTTAAAAAAATAACTGCTTTATAATCTCCAAAAATGGATCTTTCCATTTTAAGAGAAAACAAAGAACTTCAGTTAAAGTTCCTGACACAGTGATTGGCACAGTGATATGCACTGAACCATAGCTATTACTTAAACCTCAGGTAACTGGCAGCCTTCCAGGTAACCCTGGAGCATCCTCAAAGACCCTATTCTAGTTCTCTAGACAGACCAAGAAGCAAGACAACATGGAGAGTCTATTTATTCAATAGCAACACTGAAGACAAAGTCTCAGAAATCTGAGGGGATACAGTGCCCCTATTTCTACTTCAGTCCATTTTCACAAGTTTCTGTCCTTTGCAGGCTACAACTTGATGTAAAAAGCTAGATGTATGTCCTAGATATACTTATACACAACCTTTGAGGGAACAGTTTGGAGGTGCAGACGAACAGGACACTTGTAAAAGTGGGACAGCAGGGTCTCACTGTAGCCCACAAGGAAGTAGAACTTGTGTGCAGGTAGCTGCCTCAGGACCAGGGCACAGATCTCCACCTGGTTAGCCCAGCGCTTTAGAATAAGCTGGTCAGCCAGGCAGCCTGGGAAAGTGCCCAGCATAAATTTGCGAAGGAAAACATCTTCCACTGTTCGCTCGGCAGCATGGTCCTCCCCATCCAGGTTACCTGAAGAGACAAGGGTACCATGGTGAGTTGGCCAAAACTCCAGAGGTAACATCCAAGAGCACTGGGCATTCAATTCCCCACCTTAGCCTCTTCTCTTTTCTTCTACAATGGAAAAAGAATAATACTCTGAAGCTTCAAGAACATTATTTCAATAATCCCCAAACAAATCCTGTGAAGTATGTATTATCATTATCTTGTCTCACAAAAGAGAAGGGCACAAAACTGAGATGATTCCTTTATGTAGACACAGAGGACCCCTTTCCCACTCCTTCCTCACTGCCATACAGAAGCACTGGTCATTCCATGGGCCAGAGAGATGAGGCCATCAAGCTACTTCTTAGATGTGAGCTCTCTCACTTAATGAGAGCCATGGCCTCAACAAGTAAATTCTCACTGTGGATCATACACCTTTGTACCTCTTACAATATTTGTTATGAATCTCCACACCCACCCCCTAGACCTCAGAACAAGAACTTGAAAAGGGTTTGGGACAGAAATCCATACTTTAAGTAGGTTCTCTAGACAGATGTGTCTCAAGCATTCAAGTTGAGAACCCTTTGCTTTTTGCTTCTTTTCTTTTCAGAGCTATTTGTAAGGCCTCCTCAGACAGCCATTTTGCTTTTTTGCATTTCTTTTTCTTGGGAATGGTCTTGATTCCTGTCACGAACCTCCGTCCATAGTTCATCAGGCACTCTATCAGATCTAGTCCCTTAAATCTATTTCTCACTTTCACTGTATAATCCTAAGCTGCCTTTGATAACAGATTTTAAGTTCTTTACCGCTTAAGTTATCTGCTCTGTATTTGCCTTTGAAATCTTTTGTTGGTACTTTGACTAAGTGAATCACTAGTGTCTCACAGTGACCTATGATCCTATGTGACAGTGTGTTCTAAAGTGGAGAAGAAAATGGCAAATCACTTCAGTATTCTTGCCTTGAGAACCCCATGAACAGGATGAAAAGGCAAAAAGATATGGGAGTGGCAGGATATAATTAAAGTAATGAAACAAACAAACAAAAACCTACAACCAAGATTAATCTACCTAGCAAGGATCTCATTCAGATTTGACAGTGAAATCAAACAAAAGCTTAAGAGAACACAGCACCACCAAACCAACCTTAAACAAATGCTAAAGGAACTTCTCCAGCAGGAAACCAGAGAAGAAAAACACAAAAAAACAAACCCTAAATGATTTAACAAAGTGGCAGTGGGAACATACATATCAATAACTACCTTAAGTGTAAATGGATTAAATGCTCCAACCAAAAGATACATACTGGTAGAATGGATACAGAAACCAAGACCTGCCTATAAACTGCCTACAAGAGATCCACCTCAGACCTAAGGACAAAAACAGACTGAAAGTTAGGGGATGGAAAAAGATATTCAATGCAAATGGAAATCAAAAGAAAGCAGGAGTAGCAATACTCATATCTCACATCAGGCAAAATAGACTGAAAACTGTTACAAGAGATAAGGAAGACACTGAATAATGATCAAGGGATCCTCCCAAAAAGAAGATACATATAACAATTTTAAATGTTTATGCACACAACATAGGAGAACCTCATACATAAAGCAAATACTAAAAACCTTTATGATAAAAGGGAAAATCAACAGTAAACAATCCTAATGGGGGACTTTGACACCCCACTTATACTGATGGACAGGTCATCTGGACAGAAAACTAATAAGCAAACACAAGCCTTAAATTACACATTAAACCAGATGGTCCTAACAGATATCTTCAGAACATTCCACCTCAAAACAGCACAATATACTTTTTTCTCAAGTGCACATAGAACATTCTCCACAATAGATCACATCTTGGGTCACAAATCAAGCCGTGGTAAATTTAAAATTGAAATCATATCAAACATCTTTTCCAAGCTCAACACTATGAGACTAGATATCACCTACAAGAAAAAAAACTGAAAAAATACATGGAGGCTAAACACCATGCTTCTAAATAAGCAATAGGTCACTGAAGAAATCAAAAGGGAAATTTAAAAATACATGGATACAAATGGCAATTAAAATATGACCCAAAACCTATGGGATGCAGCAAAAGAAGTTGAGAGAAGTTCATAGCAATATAAGCCTACCTTAAGAAACAAGAAAAATATCAAATCAACAACCTAACCTTACACTTTACTAAAGCAACTAGAAAAAGAACCAAAAAACCCTTCAAAGTTAGTGGAAGGAAAGAAACCATAAAGATTAGAGCAGAAATAAATGAAAAAGAAATGAAGGAAACAATAGCAAAGATCAGTAAAACTAAAAGCTTGTTCTTTGAGAAAAACTGAACCAGGAAAGAATAGAACGCAGGAACAGATCAATCACAAGCACCAAAATCAAAACTGCGATCAAAAATCTTTCAACAAACAAAAGCCCAGGGCCAGATGGGTTCACAGGTAAATTCTACCAAAAGTTTAGAGAAGAGCTAACACCTATCCTGCTCAACTCTTCCAGGAAATTGCAGAGGAAGGAAAAATCAAAACTCATTCTATAAGGACATCATCACCCTGATACCAAAACCAGACCAAAAAAATCACACACAAAAAAGAACATTACCAGTCAATATCACCAATGAACACAGATGCAAAAATCCTCAGCACAATTCTAGCAAACAGAATCCAACAACACATTAAAAGGATCATACACCATGATCAAGTGGGATTTATCCCAGGGATGCAAGGTTTCTTCAATTCAAGTAAATCAATCAATGTGATATACCATATCAACAAACTGAAAGAAAAAACATATGATTATCTCAATAGATGCAGAGAAAGCTTTTGTCAAAATTCAACACCCATTTATGATAAAAATTCCCCAAAAGTAGGCACAGGTAGTAGGTCTACCTCAACATAATAAAGACCATATACAACAAATGACAGCAAACATTATCCTCAACAGTGAAAAACTGAAAGCATTTCCTCTAAGGTCAGGAACAAGACAAAGGTGCCTGCCCATTCCCGCCACTATTTGTCAACATAGTTTTGGAAGTCCCAGCCACAGTAATCAGAGGAGAAAAAGAAATAAAAGGAATCCAGATCAGAAAAGAAGGAAAATTCTCACTGCATATGACATGATACTATATATAGGAAATGCTAAAGATACCACTAGAAAATTGCTAGACCTAATCAATGAATATCATAAAGTTGTAGAATATAAAATTAATACACAGAAAGTCCTTGCATTCCTATACACTAACAATGAAAAGTCAGAAAGAGAAATTAAGCAAACAATCTCATTCACCATTGCAACCAAAAGAATACCTAGGAATAAATCTACCTCAAGAGACAAAAAAGCTGTATGCAGAAAAGTGTAAGACACAGATGAAAGAAGTCAAAGATGACACAGAGATGGAGAGATATACTATGTTCTTGGGTTGGAAGAATCAATATTGTGAAAATGACTAAACCACCCAAAGTAATCTACAAATTCAATGCAGTGTCTACTAAACCACAGATGGCATTTTTCACAATTTATATGGAAACACAAGAGACCTCGAACAACCAAAGTAATGTTGAGAAAGAAAAACAGAGCTGGAGAAATCAACTTTCCTGCTTCAGACTCTACTACGAGCTACAGTCATCAAGACAGTATGGTACTGATACAAAAACAGATAAACAGACCCGTCTTTACCTTTACACACAAAAATAAGCTCAAAATGGATTAAAAACCCAAATGTGAGCCTGGACACTATAAAATTCCTAGAGGAAAACATCAGCAGAATGCTCTCTGACATAAATTATAGCAGCATCTTCTTCAAACCATCTCCCAGAATAACGTAAATTAAAAAAAAAAAAAGGACCTACTTAAACTCAAAAGCTTTTACACAGCAAAGGAAACAATAAACAAAAAGACAACCCACAGATTGGGAGAAAATATTAAAATATTTGCAAATGATGTGACTTGATAGGATTAGTCTCCAAACTTTACAAACAGCTTATAATCCTTAACAGCATCAAAAGAAACAGCCCACTCAGGCAGAACTGAACAGACATTTCTCCAAAGAGGACATACAGATGGCATATGAAAAGTTGTTCCACATTGCTAATTATTAGAGAAATGCAAATCAAAGCTACAACGAGACACTGGTCAGAATGCTATCATCAAAAAGTGCACAAACAATAAATGCTGGTGAGGGTGTGGAGAGAAGGGTACCCTTCTACACTGTTGGTGGGAATGTAAATTGGTACAGCCACTACAGAGAACAGTACAGAGGTTCCTTAAAAAACTAAGCTACCATACGACACTACAATCCCACTCCTGGCCATACATCTGGAGAAACACATGACCCAAAAAGATTCATGCACCTCAATGTTCATTGTAACACTATTTACAATAGCCAAGACATGGAAGCATCCTAAATGTCCATAAGCAGAGGAATGGTTAAATAAGATGCTACATATATACAATGGAATATTACTCAGCCATTAAAAGGAATGAAATAATGCCATTTGCAACATGGTGGACCTAGACAGTGTCAAACTGACAAATAAATCAGAGAAGAAACATCGTATGACATCCCTTATATGTGGAATCTAAAAAGAAGTAATATAAACGAACTTACATACAAAACAGAGACTCAGAGAACGAACTTATGGTTGTTGGCATGAAGGGATAGTTAGGCTGTTTGGGGAGGTCACGTATACACTAATATATACAAAATGGAAAACGAAGAAGGAACTATTATACACAGTAATGCAACTCTACTCAGTGTTAAGAGTGGTGAGGGGGTGGATGGGAGTGGGGTGGGGGAGAAAATGAATGCATGTAAATGCATGGCTGAGTCCCTCCACTGTTCACCCGTACTGCATTGTTAGCTGGCTATACCCCAATACAAAATAAAAGGTTTAAAGTTAAAAAAAAAAAAAAAACTACAATGAGGTATCACCTCACACCGGTCAGAATGACCATCACCAAAAAACCTACAAACAATAAATGTCAGAGAGGGTGTGGAGTAAAGGGAACCCTCTTGCACTGTTGGTAGGAA